TCGCTTGAGCCCAGGAGTTGGAGGTTGCTGTGAGCTGTGATGCCAGGGCACTCTACCCAGGGGGACAGCTTGAGACACTGTCTCAAAAAAAAAAAGAAGTCTGAGGAAAAATAAGTAATGAGAAAGTGAAGTGATCACTGTAGAAACAATTTTACTATCCCATAACATCATATGTAAACCTCAAAGATACACAATATAATTTATTGTAAATGCACAAATACATAAATGAGTCATTGTACAGAAGAGGAAACCAACAGTTCCACAACCAATAGGTTGTGACTTGAAGATTCAAATGCTGAACAACTCATTCTGAATTCCTTTTACATTATATACTTTCCTCCTGTCTTTTACTCTTTATGTTTAATAAATCGGCATTTAATGATTATTAAAAAAGAAAGTGAAACAAACATGAGATTATTAACCCCTCCAAAAGACAGAAAAATCATGCAAGAAGTTTATCACAGCATACTGAATGGCTCATGTGTCAATAACATTTACATATTTTTAAAAACAAATAAACAAGTTTATTTACATATGTGAGTTGGGTAAGAACAAATCATTATCTTTCACCATAGAAAATCGATAAGTGATCAAACCAATAATGAATGAATAGCGGCATAACCAAATGCCAGAAGAAATGATGAAAGTGTTTAAGGTGGCTGTCCCCAGAAGGTGGGAGGGGGGGTACGAATGGGTCAGAGAATTGTAATACTTGGTAATACTATTTGACCTTTCAAACAATATGTATCTGTATCTTTGTTAAAATTAGAAGTTATTAAAAACCGTGGGCATTGAAAATTTAGAGTCTGGTGAATGTAGAATGACAAATTTGATGTTGAATGTAAGAAGAAATATGTTTTCTCTCCTCCCTTCTTGCTAATAAACATTTAAAAAGATGAAAAGATGCCCCAAGTAGCATAGCTCTAAAAGAACTTAGGCAGTTTTACATCAGTCCTCAAGTTTCTAATCAAAAGTAAGCTCCACTGGGAATAGATTAATGCTGGCGTAACTTGTCTATGTGCTTCAGAACAGAGACTTGAGGAAGTCAGGTTCTGGAAGAAGGAGTTAGATGACAAACTCGAGCAGCTTGTGTATGAGACCGAGGATCTACTCACACGTAAGACCAGATTAGAAAAAGCCCTGGAGAACTTAAAAGAGCCCTTGCACATCACGGAGACATGCCTGGCCTACAGGTAGGAGGGAAGGTTCCCTGAAGGAATTGTCTGTTGAAAGAAATGAAATGTCGGGTAGGGAAAGCTGGCTGTGGGGTGGTGGGTTAGAAAGTGGCAAATGAGCAGCATTCTTTCAGAGCCTGAAATTATCCTGCTGTGCCCAGGGTGGTGGGCAGCAAAAGGAACACTAGACTTGGTTCACATCTAAACTCTGTTCTTGACTGACTCAATGTAAATACAAATGAAGACTAGGTTTGGCTGTGGGTATCAGAAACCTGCAAAATAACATGCAACATAAATAAAGTGGTTTCTTTGTCTCACACGCTGAAGGAGTCCAGAGATAGTCAGTGTGGAGTTGGCATGCTGGGCCACAGGCTTTTTCTGTCTTGCTGCTTCACTGCATGTGGCTTTCACTACCAAGGTTACCTCGTGATTTAAAATAGTGGTTGGAGCTCCAACCATTACGTCTGTATTCCAGCAAGTAGGAATAAGTGCGGTTTGGCATTCACCATTTCTGCTTGCATCCCACTGACCAGAACTTAATCACACGGCCACAGCAACAGCTAGGAAATTGTTATCCTTATTTTGGGCAGCTAGGTACTCAGCTAAAAAATCAAGTGTTCTATTGCCAAGGAAGAAGGTGACAGCAGATATTACAGCTCCTGGGGGATAATAATTCTGCTGTGATACACAGAAGCACTTTGTAAGCCAGACCACACTATATCAACATGCCTTTTTGCTATTATTTCCCTCCTATAAATCCAGTGAGTAGGATGATCCTCTCTACTCGGGGGTGATGCTGGTTTCCAGACCTGTTCCTTGTTGCAGCCCTAGCTGGAGTGCCCTAATAGGTCTCCTTGCTGCTAGCCTAGCCCTCTCCAAATCCAGCGCACCTTCCACATTGGCTGTTGAGTGAGCTTTTCCAAATGAAGATTTTTATAGATCTCCCTCCCCACGCTTAAATCCTTTCATTATAACCCCATGTCCCAATAGCTTCAAGATAAAGTTCAAGCTTTTTAGCTTAGCAAACAAGGCTCATCATGATGGGACACCTAGTGACCTCTCCAGGTCTACATCTCATCTGCAGTAGTGGGATGTGCTGAGCTGCTCCAAGTTCCCCAAATGCACCATGCTGCTGTAGTCCTGCAAGGCCCTCTTCCCTTCATAAGCTTAGCCAAGACCTCTGTGGCAGCCAGCAGTCTCCCCAGCCAGATGTGGAGAAGGCGTGAAGCAAAGGGGAGTAGCAGCCGGTCGAGGAGGCCAACACCCAGCTGGCTTAAGTTGAAGCCTAAAGGTCATTATAATGTAGAGGTTGCTAAATTTATTGAGCATGTACTATGTGCCAGGTACCGTACTGTATGCTGTTATAACTCTTTCTTACCTTGCAACAACCCTATGAAGTACTAATAATTTTCCCCATTTTACAAAAACGGAAATCAAAGCACAGACAAGTTGTATAACATGCCCAAGTGCACACAGCTAGTGAGTAGGGAAGCCTTCCTCTTGGGCTCTGGCATGCAGGGTAGGAAAGAACAAAATATCAGGCAGTGGGGATCAGTTTGAAGTAGTCGCATCATGGTTAAAAGCAGGTGTAATATCCAGTTCTGTGACATTAGGTAACTTACTTAGTTTCCTGAAACTGGATTTTCTCACCTGTATTTGGAAGGGTTAAGTGAGAATACTTATATAAAAAGCTCAGCACAATGCCTGTTGTGGAGTAAGAGCTCAGGGGTGGAGATCATATTAATATCAGTGTTATTATTATTACCAGCTATTATTATTATGATAATAAAAAAATCTTTCTGGAAATTCAACTCCTTGTCTAAAAGCAGGACTAGGATCAAGGAAGGACATGTATGTCTTTGAAATTCTAAGTCAGAAGGCAGTGTTTCCAATAAATAGGTAAGAAGTAGACTTTAGAATTCATGGCCAAATTAAGGAGAAAAAAGTCTGTTTGGAGATTTTCAGACCGAGCGACAAGTCACCAATCTATTTTTCTTCATTGTGTTCGGATATTTTGAAGTCATGTAGACACCAACTAATATCTGTCACCCACCTCATCATCAGATGGATCGGGAGACACTCGAGTCAGTTGTCCAGACAGTTTCAATGTCCAGATGTTGGCCAACATCGAGTGGCCTTCCTGCACGTGTCGGCTGACCTGCTGCCTTTTCCCGGCCAGGGAGAAGCGCATTGGGATCGACCTGGTGCATGACGAGGTGGAACAGGAGCTGATGAAGGAGGCTGAGATCATCCGGGGCGTAGTGGCCCTGCTGACGCGCACCTTGGAGGAGGCGGCCGAGCAGATCAGGTGTGGCGCCCTGGCCTGCCCTCCAAATCTGCACTGGGAATCTGAGAAGAGGCAGCACCCACAAAGGCCAGGTTCCAGGGCACAGAAAGAATGAGGTTTAACATTCTCACACTCTGTGTCCCCAGGTGGCCCCAACACTCAGGCTGAAAACAAGCCACACTCCTCAGACTTGGCGGTGGCCCTCCAGTGGGGGTGGGGCTGTGGTTGGATTTCACCCCTATTCTAAACTGAAGGGGGTGAGAGCCCACTGCTGCCAAAGCTGACCCCTCACATGCAGAATGCCACAGAGGTGACACTGGGAAATGTCACAGTGCAAGGGAGGGAGGATCTTGAAGTCCAGAAAAGTGTACAAGTAATACACATACAATTCAAGGTTTGTCGCCAAGTGTCAAATGGAGGGGGTGTTGGGGTGATGTTTTCAGGGTCTCCCAAGAACCTGTAGGTCCCCCCTGGGCATTCCAGAGTGAGAAACCCAGTCTACCTTCTCCCTCTAGGCTGAACCGCTCTGCCAAGTATAATCTTGAAAAGGATTTGAAGGACAAGTTTGTGGCTTTGACTATTGATGATATCTGCTTCTCACTCAACAACAACTCCCCAAACATCAAATACGCAGAGGATGTTGTAAGGATTGAACCAAAGTAAGTGGGCCTTGTGGTCTTCTTCCCTGCCAGTGTGTCCTGTTGTTCTCAGACAGGCAGGATCTAAGGAACCTCGTCCTTGCAGCAGGCTGGGAACTGGCCAGGGCAGGTTGGGGACAGAGGCAGGTGCTGAATGGGGCCTACCCTGACACAGGCCCTGAGGCTTCGGGGTCCTCCACATTAGGCCCCACTTGAAGAAAGCCTGATAGAAAACCTTTAAACATTTAAATTTTTTTTTTTATGTGTTCATGTTTTTAACAAATAAAAGGATTTCAAAGTGTAGAAAGGGCAAGTTAATCATTTCCCCTCTTCCACTTTTACACCCCCTGAGGTATAAGTGGTGTTACCTGCATGTTCACACATACATATGAGGCTGGAAAACTAAGTTCTTGAACTCACCTTGGAGACAGTGGTACATACATCACTGCAAATACCACTAGGGTCACCTTTGAAGTACTCCCGTTTGCCATCTGGGGATATTCAGCAATGAGGTATGTAGCACTTTTTCTAGGATGAGTTCATGAATATAATTGACCTTGTGTGCCATGCACTCACTTACACAAGCAAATTTTGTTTAGTTTACAAAAATGGGGGGTTATACTATGTACTTTAACATTTAATTTGAAGTTTTTAATTCACATTCTATACAGTCTGTGTGTATGTTCATACATACATATGAGGATAAATTAAGTTCTTCAACTCACCTTGGAAAAAGTGGTACATACATCACTGCTGAATACCACCACGGTCACCTTTGAAGTATTCCCCTTGGACATCTGGTGATTCTCATTCTAATTTTTCCAGTGTTCTTTTTGAAATAAAACATACATATGGAAAAGTGTATAAGTAATACACATACAATTCAAGGAATTATCACCATGTTATTTCCTATATAACAAATTGCCCCAAACTTAGCAGCTTAAAACAATAAACATTATCTCACTGTTTCTGTGGGCTGGGAACCAGGTGCTGCTTGGCTAGGTGCCTTAGGCTCCGCATCTCACGAGGTTGCTGTCAAGCCAGCTGCTGGGGCTGCAGTCCACTTGAAGGCTCAACTGGGGCGGGGTCTACTTCCAAGCTGACTCGTGGGTGATGGCTGGCCTCAGTTCCTTGCCATGTGAGCTTCCCATGAATCAGTCTTGTGAGAGAGCAGCTGGCTTCTCCCATAGCGAATGTTTGAAGAGAGAATGAGAGAGAGAGAGAACCCATGACAAGCCAGTCTTTCTTATACCCTAATCCCAGAGGTGACAACTCATCTTTCTGTTCATGAGAAGTTCAATAAGTTCACCCCATACTCAGGGCAAGGGGATTACACAAAGGTGTGAACGCCAGGGGGAGGACTTACTGTGGTCATCTGAGAAGTTGCCTCTAATCAGGAAGGGAACCGAATCCTCATATCACCACCAACCAGGCCAAGAAAGGAAATATCACCAGCACCGCACAAAGCACCCCCATCCTGTCCCCCTTCTGATCAATATTCTCTCTATCTTGAAGTTCACCAACCACCTTCCTGACTTCTAAGAGGTTCATTTTGCCTGCCTGCTCTTTATTAAATAGCATCATACATTATGTTTTGTGTGTGTTTCTAGTTTCTTCCAATTGGCAATCTTTTATGGTTCATCAGGTTGTTACATAAAACAGTTCCTCTTCAAACTAGGTATTTATTTATTTATTTATTTATTTCAGTTTTTGGCTGGGGCTGGGTTTGAACCCACCATGTCTGGCATATGGGGCCCGTGCCCTACTCCTTTGAGCCACAGGCATCTCCCATTCATTTATTTATGTATTTGTTTCTGTATGATCTCATGGTTTCCTGTTTTATTCAGTGTTATTTTTATTTATTTTGATGCTTAAATTGTCCTTAGCTTTGCACTCAAGACACAGTTACTTACTTTTCCTGAGCTCAGTTTTCTTCATCTGTAAAGTGGGATAAATAAGGATTAAGTGAGATAATGCCTGGAAGGTGCCAGCCCAGTGCCTGGTACAGCTCAGGGAGGTTACTCAGTGACAGCTATTGCCACTGACAGACCACTGTTTGCTCTACCTGGAAATGGGGAGACATTTAAGTGCTTCTGCTGGGGAAGGTAGGCCCAGTTTCCACTGCATTTCCAGGAGCCCATCTCCCTCCTTACATCCCCTTCCCCAGTCCCCAAATGCTGGGAATGAATGCCAGGGTCTCTTTCAGCTCTGTGAGTCTAGAAGACTGGTTGGATTTCTCCAACACAAATGTGGAGAAGGCTGACAAGCAGCGGAACAACTCGCTGACGCTGAAGGCCCTGGTGGACCGGATCCTGTCCCAGACGATCAGCGACCTGCGAAAGCAGTGTGATGTGGTGGACACGGCATTCAGGACCAGGCTGAAGGATATCAAGGATGCCAGGGACAAGCTGGCAGTTCATCTAGCCAAGGTGAGGTCCCTGGAGGGAGCACAGAGGAGAAGTCTCCGGAGGCTTCCCTGTGGAAAATGTGAGTGTTCATCCAGGCTTGTAATGTTGGGTTAACTCAAAGCTAGGGCTACTCCATCTCAGTGGCAGGCTGTGGGAGTTGGGGCACTGGAATGAGACTTTGCCCCACTCTGGACCTCTGTTGTCACTCACTGCTGCAGAAAACAGGTGCAGAGGATGGAGCCCTGCGGCAGGAGAAGGACTGCTCAGGATTTGGGTACAGCTTTATGCCTCGCTGTCTCCCCACTTAGGTCCTCAGCTCCTCTTTATATGAAATATGGAGGGGGACTGTGTGCTCTCAGCCATCTTTTGGGACTCCGAAATTTCTCAGCTGCAGCTCTGGGACTCTGGGCGGTTCTCCCTCCCAGGTGGTGTGCTGGTAAACTGGCCCTGGGGCGGGGGAGGGCAGAGAGAGGAGCCCCACAGATTTGTAGAACCTGCACACTTCTGTAGTGTTAACACTCCCACCTGGTTGATTTCAAGTTACCCACTTAACAATGGGCTGACAAAGTTCCTGAATATGTAGCAATCAGAGCCCTCCTGAGCCAGTCCCAGCACAGCTTTCTTACCACCGAAGACCCCTGGATCCTGAGCACATGTGAGCACCCGGCAAGGCTGAGCTCAGGGACACTGGGAACTAGACAGGTGGTACAAGTGCTGCCTGTGGACTGCTCGAGATCCCAGTCCTGTGACAGCCAGAGTGGATCATACAGATCCCTCAAGTTCTCTGAATCTCTTCCCTCCTTTGACGTGGGGGGATCATGACAGCCTCTCACTGGGCCACTCTTAGTGCCCCCTCCAATTTACAGCCGGTGAAGCCAAGATATGGGAAGACAAAGGGCTCCAAGGCCACCACAGGGGACCGGTGCCCAGACCTTTTCAGCTTCTGAGTCCAGTGTCCTGCTGCTGCACTTGAAAGCCTCCCTCCTGGAGCTCAGAGTGCAGTTGTGAGATAAGATCTATTTCTGTGATGTGCAGGACAGGTAGAAGGTTAAACTGCAGTATTCAGCAAAATGAGAGGTGGAAGAGCCTAGTGGCAATGCATAGACTCTGGAGCCAGAGTGAACTGGGGTGTCAACACATACCACGTGGTCTTGGGGCGTTCCTGTCCCTCATTGATGAATAGGGACAACAGTACAGCACACTTCCCAGGGTTGGTAAAGGTTAAATCAGACAGCTCATAAGATGCTTACTTAGAACAGTATCTGGTGCATATAAGTTTCACATTTATATATATACACACATATAATTTGTATATGTAATCTATATTTTATATATGTGTAAAAGGCAATAATAATTATAGACTTCTATTAGATTTTTCTCCTGATATTTGCCTTTTAGCAAATATCATTGCATTTCAGATTAACTACTTCTATCACAAGGTTAGATAGAAACTTTTCAATTGCACATTTATATGGATTTTGAAATTTGGAAATTTCCTTTGCCCTTGCTTTGATGTCCAAAAATCACTGCTGGAATTTGGAAAATATCTGTTGCAAACTTGTGTGGGAATGAAGGTCTTGGTTTGATTTTTATTTTTTTGAGATAGAGTCTTGCTGTCTCCTGGGTAGAGTGCTGTGACATTATCAGAACCTCAGACTCCTGGGTTCAGGCAATCTTCCTGCCACGGCTTCCCAAGTAGCTGGGACTACAGGTTCTCATCACCATTCCCGGCTAATTTTTCTATTTTTAGTAGAGACTAGGTCTCACTCTTGCTCAGGCTGGTCTGGAACTCTTGAGCTCAAGCAATCCTCCAGCCGTGGCCTCCCAGAGTGCTAGGATTACAGGTGCAAGCTACCGTGTCTGGCCTTGTTTTGACTTTTGACAGCACAGGAGATACATAGAGCAGCTTGACATTACTGTAATTAAAATCACATTAGTTGTTGAAATGACTGTACTGGAGTATAAGCTTTGCATATACATGCTATCTTGCCTTGTAATTTTAGATTGGATTCATTAAGAAACATTAAGTCTACAGCAAAAGTTAATTTCTGAAGCTATTCGGTGGTTTGATAATAGTGGCTTAAGGTAGTTCTTCTTATTCAGCAAAATTTCCATCTTGGTTCTGAGCTAAAATGAATTCCAAGAAAATGCTGCCACTTCTAAGCCATTGAATTGCTGAGTGGTAGGGTAAGTCAGGATATTCAGTATCTATTTCCGGCAAAAATTCACAGCACCAATAATGGGCAAGTCTATGAGAGCAAATGAAGTTCATTGTGATGATACTGGTTCAATAATAGGTAATAGATCCATATATTTTCTGCAAAGTACCATTTGATGAAAAATTCAATGAGTAGCCAAATATAAGCTTTAAATAACTTTCATTTTCACAAGCTCTGTAAATTTGTTCAACTAAAGCCTCTTTTTATTTTTTTTTT